CCATCACAGCCAAAACACAAATAACAAACTGTAACTTGTTACAAACAGCATACTTGTAACTCATTTCAAAATAAAGAGCTGATTTCTCTAATATACCTAGAACAGTGCCCAGCATTGGCAGGTGGCCAATAATTGCAAAATAAGCAAATGTATTAATGAACCATTAGAGGCTTTGTTTTGTACACTTAATTATTATTAAAAAAGAGGGTCACCCTATGTGGTCCAGGCTGCTCTGGAGCTCTTGGGCTCAACCAATCCTCCTGCCTATGGCCTTCTAAAGTGCTGGGATTACAGGCGTGAGCCGCTAGTCCCAGCCAGAAAGGCTTTCTGAGAAGAGAGCACTGCATGTGCAAAGGCCCAGAGGTTGAAAGAGGGCCAGAGCCTGGTGAGTCTGAGGAACTTCCCATGTCCTAATGACCTGTGTCTATATCCAGCAGCCTTGCCTTACTGATACCAGTACCTGCCTGCTGCTACCATCCAGTCAACATGTGGCATCTTCCAGGCCACTGTGATGAGTCAGGGATGAGCATCTGACTCTGGTTGGTCCAATCAGCTTGTCCAGGGACTTTGGCTGGGAAGATTGGAAAGGAGGCCAGCTTTTTGGGCTGGGATTGCTAAGAGATGTGATGATGAAGTGTGTGGCCTACCTGGCATCTGGCCCCAGCTTCAGCTCCGTTTACTATCTTGCTCCCCACGCTCACTAGCCTGCATTGAGGCCTCCTCTGTGCCCCCCAACCCCTGAGTTTCTCATCCCCAGAGAACCCAGCATACACAGAATTGAAGGATTTTCTTACTCATCTTCCTGTGCTCACCCTGAGGACTGGGCCTTTGTCATCAGCTAATCACTGTCCCCTCAAGCACTCACAGTGGAAAATAGAGTGCTATGCAGCCCTGCAGCTTGCCATCTGGAACAGTTCACAGGCAAGGCCTCCCACACTGAACCCTGCTCCAGCCAAATAGTGCCAGCAACACAGAGCTACTTGTTACATCAGCTCAGACCAAGCCACATCCACAGGAGCAGTTGGTGATTCCACAGAACCACAAGAGACTTGACCTCCTGGAAATGAATTAACCAAGATTAATGAAAAAGATTAAGGTCATGTGCCCTGTAAAAGTGTCCCTCACTGGATAAACTGTGACAAGGTAGGGTACTGTGTGGTCTACCCAGCTGACCCTCTCCATGGGTCATTCTTTGCTTTTATCACTACCTGGCACATACCTTTACGTATTTGTTTATTGTCTTCCCTCCACCAGTGTTAGGTGTTTGCCCTTGCTGTATCCCCTGTGCCTAGAACAGTGCCCAGCATTGGCAGGTGGCCAATAATTGCAAAATAAGCAAATGTATTAATGAACCATTAGAGGCTTTGTTTTGTACACTTACTACCTGCTGGGCACATTTATTTAATCCTCATGACAGCCCCTGAAGTAGGTGTTACTGTTTCCGTCTTAGAGATAAAGACTCTGAGGTTTGGAGAGGTGAAGTGATTTGATCAATGTCACATGGTAGTGAGTGTGCCCAAGAATCATAGTTTCCTTTATTCGAGAAGTTGGGGGCCAGGTGCAGTGGCTCATGCCTGTAATCCCAACACTTTGGGAGGCCAGGGTGGGAGGATCTCTTGGGCCTAGGAGTTTGAGACCAGCCTGGGCAACAATATGGTAAGACTCCATCTCTACCAAAAAAAATTATTTTTAAATTAGCCAGGCATGGTGATGTACATCTGCAGTCCCAGCTACTCGGCTAAGGCAGGAGGACTGCTGGAGGCCAGGAATTCAAGACCAGCCTGGTCAACATGGCAAGACCCCATCTGTACATATACGTATCTATAGACAGATAGATTAAAAGATAGATATGTATTAGCCAGGCACAGTCACACGTTTGTAGTCCCAGCTACTTGGGGAGGCTAAGGCCGGAGGATCACCTGAGCCCAGGAGGTCAGGGCTGCAGTGAGCCTTGATCACACCACTGCATTCCAATTTGGGTGACAGAGTGAGACCCTCTCTAAAATAATTTAAAAATACTGAAGAAACAAAGGGAGCAGTTTGTAGAATCTTGGAGTGGAGGAAACTTCTGTGTCACCAAACACAGAAACCATCAAAGAAAATCTTTCACATCCAAAATTAGTCTATAGAAAAAAAAAAAGAAAAGAAAATCTTAACCAAATAAGAGACTGAGGCAAGAGCTTCAATCAGTTGAGGTTTATTGAGCCAGAGTTTGAGCGTGCCCAGGAAAGCAACACAAGTCACAGAAACGTCTGTGGCCTGTGCTCTCCCAAGAAGTTTTCAGGAGGCTCAATATTTGTACATTTCTTTAATAAACGGGAGAAGACAGGCAAATGGTTATGTTTTTGTGAGACTCTTAATTAGTGTCCCGTAAATCTAGGCTATATGGAAGATAGGTTGAGCACTGGAAGAACAGGGAGTAACAGAAGAGCCAATTATGCAGAGGTCTCAGGGTAGGTGGAGGAATGATTGATCTCATCCTATCCTTGTTCTGCACCTGGGCAGATAAACTTGTAATTGACATTGTCAGTGTGAAATTTAACAGACTTTGGTTTTAGGAGTTAGGTTTAGGTTGCAGACCTAAAGTTGCAATTGACATGTGCTTGTTTTATAGGAGGATATACATCTTGAAAGTTTTAGGGACTGGCAAAGAATTTACTGATGAGCAATTTGTGAGTGCAGTCACCTGGAGATGCGTGAGGCTTTGTGCCTTTTTATGGAGATCTGGTTAATGCATAATATTTTGACACAAGGTTGCAAGGTAACAGGTATCCATTTGGGAAAAGAATGACAGTTTTGGAGAACATTAGTTCTACGGCATAGAATGAAGTGTTGCCGGAATAAAATTTTTTTAAAAATTTAAAAAGAGGCCGGGTGCAGTGGCTCACACCTGTAATCCTAGCATGCCTGTAATCACAGCACTTTGGGAGGCTGAGGCGGGTGGATCACCTGAGGTCAGGAGTTCGAGACCAGCCTGACCAATATGGCGAAACCCTGTCTCTACTAAAAATACAAAAATTAGCCGGGCATGGTGGCAGGTGCCTGTAATCCCAGCTACTGGGGAGGCTGAGGCAGGAGAATTGCTTGAACCCGGGAGGCGGAGGTTGCAGTGAGCTGAGATCATGCCACTGCACTCCAGCCTGGGCAACAGAAGAGAAAGACTCCATCTCAAGAAAAAAAAAAAAAAAAAAGGAATGCCAGTGTGTGTGACTCAGTCTCCAAGCTTAACTCTCCCTTTAGCATAACAAATTTGGGGTTCCTGACATTTTTATTTTCATTTATGAAAAGATCAATAATCCATTTGCATTAAAAATGAAGTCTATATGGAAAAAGCCACCATCACAGCCAAAACACAAATAACAAACTGTAACTTATTACAAACAGCATACTTGTAACTCATTTCAAAATAAAGAGCTGATTTCTCTAATATATAAAGAACTCTCATAAGCCAATAAGAAAAAGACCAGTGGCAGCCGGGTGTGGAGGCACATGCCTGTAATCCCAGCTACTCAGGAGGCTGAGGCAGGAGAATTGCTTGAATCTGGGAGGTGGAGGTTGCGGGGAGCCAAGATCATGCCATTGCACTCCAGCCTGGACAACAAGAGCGAAACTCTGTATCAAAAAAAAAAAAAAGAAAAAACAGAAAAAGACGAATGGCCCAGTAGAAAGTTTGGCAAAGGATACAAACAGACCATTCACAGAAAAAGATAGATAAATAATCTCTCTCGGGAAAGTACCTCCCAGTCACCATTTCTTGGAAAGTTGTTGAAGGATGCACTTCAGCAAAATGAGGGAGTAAACCAGGAGACATTGGCTTAAGATCCAGGCAAGAGTGAGGCGCTCAGGAGCCCTGGAAGTCAGAAGAGCCTGGTAGCACTGAAGGAACACTCAGGCCACCTTGGAACAGAGAGGATGGGATTGCCATGTGGTTCCACATGGCTCTGAAAATAGAAAATGGCTAAGCTGTGCAACAGACCGCCTATGACATCTGGTTGCCCAGAGCTTCTGTGAAAATACTTTAGGACAAGGCTTTCCCCCACCCAGGAGTGGGTTGGGGAATAGAGTGTATGCGCTTTGTTTTGTCCAATTTTAGACTTTAAAATCCTCTGAGGCATCAACTGGTGAGGGTAAGAAAGTGGCCCCATAGACTGAATTGGGCCTGCCCCACCCTGGTACATTTCTGTTCTGTCACAGTGACAGTTCTCAGCTCAGAGGTCCTTTGGAAAACTTTCTCTGAGGTGGCCCCTATCCCCTTGCCAGCTGGATGAAGCAGCATCCACCAGAACTGCTACCATCACTGCAGGGGGCTTGGTGGGCAGAGGCCTGACTTGTCTCCATTAGTACTGTGTTCCTGTGCCCAGTGTGGGCCCAGCACACACTGTGGGTTCAGTCAATCAGCCCCCGGCCTGCTCTGGAACTGAGTCATCAGAGGGAGTGGGTGTTGGGCATAGCTCCCTGCCCTAAGAACCTTCCTTCTTGGGCCCGAGGAACTCCCACTGGGGCAGGGCTAGCTGCTGGGAGGAAGTGGGGCCTACTGAGCGTCTGCCTGGGCTAGGGAGTGGAGGTGAAGGTAGACTCCTCATATAGCTCATATGGGGGCACTGGGCTGTGGAGCCTTAGCCACTTTCAATTGGCAAGCCCTGGCTTCCTGGAGGAGGAAAGGGGAAGAGAAGTGCCTTGGGGGTGAGGATTGAGTCAGCTGCATTGTCGTAATGGAAATAGCACAGCCCTGGGTGTCCAAGACTTCCCCTCCATGGGCCTCAGAATCGTCCATATAAAGTAACACTTTTTTCTTTTCTTTCTTTCTTTTTTTTTTTTTAGACTGAGTCTCGCTCTATCGCCCTGGCCGGAGTGCAGTGACTCCATCTCAGCTCACTGCAACTTCTGCCTCCCGGGTTCAAGCGATTCTTGTGCCCCAGCCTTCTGAGTAGCTGGGATTACAGGCGCGCACCACCACACCCAACTAATCTTTGTATTTTTAGTAGAGACAGGGTTTCACCGTGTTGGCCAGGCTGGTCTCGAACTCCTGACCTCAAATGATCCGCCCGCCTCGGCCTCCCAGAGTGTTGGGATTACAGGGGTGAGCCATTGCGTCCGGCCAAAGTTACACTTTTGCACAGGGAGTTGGATTTGAGTGACAAATGGGTGACAAAGGCGGGGTGCGGTGGCTCAAGCCTGTAATCCCAGCACTTTGGGAGATCGAGACCATCCTGGCTAACCTGGTGAAACCCCGACTCCACTAAAAAATACAAAAAACTAGCCGGGCGAGGTGGCGGGCGCCTGTAGTCCCAGCTACTCGGGAGGCTGAGGCAGGAGAATGGCGTAAACCCGGGAGGCGGAGCTTGCAGTGAGCTGAGATCCGGCCACTGCACTCTAGCCTGGGCGACAGAGCGAGACTCCGTCTCACAAAAAAAAAAAAAAAAAAGAGGGACAAAGTGCTTTATTAACTCGCAGATGTGAACAGGACACTGCTGCTGACCCCCTGGTGACAGCTAGCCAGTGGTTGAGAGACCGCAAGATGATTCCTCGTCTTTCACTTCCCTCCGTCCCAGGTCTGAACTCGGACCAGCAGGAGCCTTTGGGGGACCACTGATTGCCTTTTACACTCACACAGATTTCTCTTGTCCATCACTCACTCACAGTCCAGTAAGGATCCTGCTGTCTATTCTGCGAGGACATGTTGAATGCAGGGACAGCCATTTAGAAGACTGTCCTCGAGGGTGGCAGCAGCCTCTCAGGACAGGGAAAGCCAAGGTGACCACTAAGCCCGTCTGGGGTGGAGGGTGGCAGGCGGGGGTGGAGAGGATTCGAGGCCACCTGAAGGAACCTGTGCTCGGAGACACTTACTCATTGTGCGGGTCTGACACCTCCCAGCTCATCCTGTCCCCATCTTCCCCTTGCGTCACGTCCCCACCCAGCAGGAGGAGATCTGAGGCTTTGCGCGACGCTGGCCCCGCGGAGTGTGGGGGGCTTTTCCTCTCAACCACTAGTGCCCCACAAGCGTGGGTGAACAGTCCTCCCTGGCTACTGTGAGACGCTGGGCAGGCCACTTCGCTTCTCTGGGCCTCGGTTTTCCTGCTTGTCAAATGGGGCTGATGCCGGCGTGGGCTTCTTCGGGCGGTCGCGAGGGTTGACCCCTGGAGTCAGCAAGCCAGCCGCGAACACGCTCCCAGGTGGAGGTCAGGGCTGGGGGGCGTCGCCTCCCCTCCGCGCGCCTCCGGCCCCGCCTCCCGCCCGCGCACCCCCCCCCGGCCCCGCCCCCGACCCACTTCCTCCTCCCGCGGGCTGCCCAGCCCTAGCGCCCCGCGCTCCGCGGGTAGCCCCCTGCAGCCGCGCCATGTCCGCCGGCTGGTTCCGGCGCCGCTTCCTGCCTGGGGAGCCGCTCCCCGCGCCGCGGCCGCCCGGGCCGCGTGCCAGCCCCGTGCCCTACCGACGGCCCCGCTTCCTGCGCGGCTCCAGCTCCAGCCCCGGGGCAGCCGACGCCTCGCGCCGCCCAGACTCCCGGCCCGTGCGCAGTCCCGCGCGAGGACGCACGCTGCCCTGGAATGCAGGCTACGCCGAGTGAGTGCCCCTCCCCGACCCCTGGCTCGGGCCCGGACCGGAGCCCGCCTCGGGTCTTGCGCCGGCCTAGAAAGCGGGAGAAGCTGAGTGAGTGACAGCCCCCACCCACCTGTGGACAGCCCCTTCTTGCCCTCTCCTCGGAATCCTGACAACGTCCCCATCATCCCGACCCTGCGTTTTCCTTGGGATTCCGACCTCCCCTTCAGAGAAGACAGGAGGTCGGGAAGGACCTGCAGCCCAGGGGCTTCCAAGATGAGGCCCAGAGACTCGGTAGAGTTCCAGCATTCGGGACTTTGGAGATTTCCCCTCGCCCCCTACCCCCACCATCTCACCCTGGGTATGACCTGCGCTGTATGGGACAGGGCTTTGGGCTGCGACAGGGCAGGGGACAGGAATGGCAACATACCCTTACCTTCTAGCCCAGGGTCACCAGGTAGGCTCCAGAGGAGCTGGGCCCTGACTTTTACCTTAACCATGAGGCGACTGAAGTTAGGAAGCTTACATCGTGGTTGTCTTAAGTGTGTGTTAGGGACAGCACTGGGGAGCTGTTGCCCCAGAGGGAGGGGTCCTCTCCCTGTGCCCATGGGGACATAGGTGTGTCCCTGGAGGGTCGCTTACCTTTTCCTGGCCTCAGGATTATCAATGCAGAGAAATCTGAATTCAATGAGGATCAAGCCGCCTGTGGGAAGCTGTGCATCCGGAGATGTGAATTTGGGGCTGAAGAAGAGTGGCTGACCCTGTGCCCAGAGGAGGTGAGCGCAGCCTGAGTTCTTGACTGGAATCCCTCCTACAGGCTGGGGCCACGACCTGCAGGCTGAGGTTCTTACCCTGCTGCCCCATGTTCTAGTTCAGGGTGGGTCAGGGGACAACTGGGGAAGTCAGGCAGAGGCTGACACTGAGCCCTTCCTGTGCAGTTCCTGACAGGCCATTACTGGGCACTGTTCGATGGGCACGGCGGTCCTGCAGCAGCCATCTTGGCTGCCAACACCCTGCACTCCTGCTTGCGCCGGCAGCTGGAGGCCGTGGTAGAGGGCTTGGTGGCCACTCAGCCCCCCATGCACCTCAATGGCCGCTGCATCTGCCCCAGTGACCCTCAGTTTGTGGAGGAAAAGGGCATCAGGGCAGAAGACTTGGTGATCGGGGCATTGGAGAGTGCCTTTCAGGAATGTGTGAGTGTGTGGCTTTTGGCTGGGAAAGAAGTGGAGATTTTGCCCCTAGGGATCTCGGGAAATGGCATCTCTGTATACCCATGGTCATCACACCAGATCCTTGGATTGGGAGGATGAGATTGGGTTGGTTGGGTTGTTACTAACAGCCATCACTGTCAGCATAACCCCTCTCATTTTATCCAGCGCCTACTGTGTGCTAAGTGCTTTTACCTGCATCATCTAATTGAATACCCTTTTGGTTCTTGGTGCAGTGGCTGGTTTCTCTTCCTATTTTGAGTAGCACTTCCCTTGTCTAGATCTCCTGACTGCAGGGATCTTGGAGGCATGGCTGGACTTTGGGCTGGGACTGTCAGGCCTGCTAGTAGAAGTGAACTGTTGGGTAGGGTGGGGATCGAGAGACAAAGTAGTATGGTGGCAGAACAGGCAGCAGCTAAGGTGGCCTTGGTTTGCCCCAGGACGAGGTGATCGGGCGGGAGCTGGAGGCCTCAGGCCAGGTGGGCGGCTGCACAGCCCTGGTGGCTGTGTCCCTGCAGGGAAAGCTGTACGTGGCCAATGCTGGGGATAGCAGGTGAGTCACCCCTTGGAAGGTGGGCAAGGGTGGGATGGGGAGAGCACAAGCAGCAATGGGGACAAGCAAAGGTGGCTGGAAGTGGAGTGGAGGGATAGTAGGAAGGATTGACTGGCTGAATTGTGTGTATTTGGTATGTGTTGAGCGTGAGGATGGACAGTAGCTGCTGGGGAGGATGGGGACCTCAGGGGCCCTGCTAAAGGGCTAAGCCTTCACCCTTGCAGGTCTTAGGTAGTCATGGAGGGCTTTAAGGAATCATCATGGGCAGAGCTGGGTCGTGGTGGTTGGAGGAAGGACTGGTAGGAGGGTGGCCATGGGTGAGGGTGGAGCCCCCCTCCTAGACCTCTCCCTTCTCCCCTCAATCCAGGGCCATCTTGGTGCGAAGAAATGAGATACGGCCACTGAGCTTCGAGTTCACCCCAGAGACTGAGCGGCAGCGGATCCAGCAGCTGGTAGGTGCCCTTGGCAGCATGGAGGCTGTGAAGCCCCAACTCCTGGGTCCAGGGCCACAAGAGTGAGTATGACCTGAGTGCAGCCTCCCCACCCCAGGCCTTTGTCTACCCTGAGCTTCTGGCTGGCGAGTTCACCCGACTGGAGTTCCCTCGGCGGCTGAAGGGGGATGACTTGGGACAGAAGGTTTTGTTCAGGGATCACCACATGAGTGGTTGGTGAGTGGGGATGGTGGACAGGTGGGAAGGGAGACCCCTGGGATCCAGTCCCAGCTGTATGGCCTGGGGCAGCCCCCCTCTACCTTGGCAGGGTGGGCACTGTGAGGGTGTGATAGCTGGGCCCTGAGTTGGGGAAAGATGAGATGGGGCACAGGGCTTGCATGGATGCTGGCTCTGCTTCTGGTAGGAGCTACAAACGTGTGGAGAAATCGGATCTCAAGTACCCACTGATCCATGGACAGGGTAGGCAGGTCAGTGCCTGGCACCCCCTAACCCCAAGAATCCCTCTTCATTGTCCCCTACAGAGGTGGGAGCTCCTTTCTTTGCCTCTTGCTGGTAGCTGTGGCTGGTGGCCTGGGATTTGCTCTGAGTCCAGGAATTTTCTCAGTCTAAGGCTTCCAAGGGCCACAGTCCACCTCTGTGTGCTCTGCAGTGCTAGGGCCTGGTACTTGTGCATTTGCTGGAGCCATTTGCCATCACCTCACACTTCACTTTCCCTCAGGCTCGGTTACTAGGAACACTGGCAGTCTCCCGGGGGCTGGGAGACCATCAGCTCAGAGTCCTAGACACGAACATCCAGCTCAAGCCCTTCTTGCTCTCTGTCCCACAGGTAAGGGGGGAAACGCTGTCCAACCCAGCTTCCATTTGCCCAGAAAGGCGGATAGTGAGGCTGTTGGGAGTCGGGAAGGGAGTGTGCAAGATCCTCAGGCTTAACTTGTAGGTGACTGTGCTGGATGTGGGCCAGCTGGAGCTACAGGAGGATGATGTGGTTGTCATGGCGACTGATGGACTCTGGGATGTCCTGTCCAACGAGCAGGTGGCATGGCTGGTGCGGAGCTTCCTCCCTGGGAACCAAGAGGACCCACACAGGTACTGTAGCTGCTGGGGACCTGCCTGGGCCTGGGTTGGTGCCAGCAGCAAGCCCAAGTAGTTATGGCTGAGAAGATAGCACTGACAATGAGCTGGCAGCTGGCCAGGATCAGGGCTGTCTCAAGCTTCTTGGAGGAGGAGGGGAGACTAGGGTTCCAAAAATCCCTGGATATAGCCTCTTGTGGTTCAGCCCATGGCCCTTCCAGGCTTGCTGCTTGCTTGGTCCCCAGTCGGACTGCACTGCTTGGGTCCCCATGTCCAGCCTTGTGCAGTGAGTTCTCCTGAGGGCTGGCCTTGCCCCTTTGCTCTGCCCCTGAAGTCTATCTGCAGGATGGTCTTCACAGGTTCTTGAAGCTGGCCCAGATGCTGATACACAGCACACAGGGAAAGGAAGACAGTCCCACAGAGGAAGGGCAGGTGTCCTACGATGACGTCTCTGTGTTCGTGATTCCCTTGCACAGTCAGGGCCAAGAGAGCAGTGGCCACTGAGGATTCAGACACTGTATCCCAGAACTGCTCCAGTGCCCGGGTGTGGTCTGGGCATCCCTCCAGTGTGACCAAGAGCAAATCCTGCCTGCCCTATCCCTAGCCACAGCCCAGCGCTCTCCCTGCACCTCAACACACATCCATCTCAAGAGGAACATTTATGCCAGGCAGTCAGAGCTGGAAGGGTATGGAGAGCCCAGCCCACCAGGTCCTGCTTTTTGCGGTGATAACCTCTGGCAGAGTGACTTTACAAGTTAACTAGGAAACCCATGTGAGGTTCCTCAGACAGGATCTTCAACAGCCCAAAGTATCATTCTCAGGGGCACCCAGGCTAAGGGTATTAGCCAAAGATGCCAGGATGGGCAGCTAACCCATGTTTAGATCCAGGTCTCCAATTAATGGATGTCAGAGCATGCGTTCAACAACCCCCAAAGTCCACGCAGGGTGGCTTGTAGAAACCTTTGGGCAGCCTCATGTCTGCTTAAACAGCCATCTTCAAGACAGCCCCTGAAAAGAGACCAACTCAGGTCCTGCCCTGCTATTCTTTGCTGGAGATGAGGAACAGGCTCTGGGGCTAAAGTCTGGGGTAAAGCACAAGGGACTAGAGGAACTCTTGGAGTTGGCTGGGTGAGAGGGCTCTCCATTTGTTACCTGTAGTAGCCTGCCTCCTAACTGGTTGCTTCTCCCTAGTTCCAGCCCTGCCCTGGTCTGATGCCCCAACACTGCCTTTGCTTTGTTGTTCCATCACCTCCCTATTATTAAATGTTTTCTACAGAAGAGACTTGTGAATCATGAATTGCTGTACAGCTTGGATTAAGGATACCTATTGTTGGCTGGGTGTGGTGGCTCACGCCTGTAATCCCAGCACTTTGGGAGGCCGAGGCGGGCAGACTTCAAGGTCAGGAGATCAAGGCCATCCTGGCTAACACGGTGAAACCCTGTATCTACTAAAAATACAAAAAATTAGCCGGTCATGGTGGCGGCTGCCTATAGTCCGAGGTACTCCAGAGGCTGAGGCAGAAGAATGGCGTGAACCCGGGAGGAGGCGGAGCTTGCAGCGAGTGGAGATCACGCCACTGCACTCCAGCCTGGGTGACAGCAAGACCCTGTTTCAAAAAAGGGGAAAAAAAAAAAAAAAAAAAAAAAAAAAGGATACCTATTGCTGTTTCTTGTTACCTTCCAGTGGATTAGTTTTAGCTCTACCTTGTAAGCCTGCACATAATCAGGACTATGTTTTCTTTGCAGTTTCCCTAGTTCTCAGCCTGGGTGAGCCCCAGTGAGAGAATTTTTGGCCAGGAAGGGTGTGGTCTGGGCATCCCTCCAGTGTGACCAAGAGCAAATCCTGCCTGCCCTATCCCTAGCCACAGCCCAGCGCTCTCCCTGCACCTCAACACACATCCATCTCAAGAGGAACATTTATGCCAGGCAGTCAGAGCTGGAAGGGTATGGAGAGCCCAGCCCACCAGGTCCTGCTTTTTGCGGTGATAACCTCTGGCAGAGTGACTTTACAAGTTAACTAGGAAACCCATGTGAGGTTCCTCAGACAGGATCTTCAACAGCCCAAAGTATCATTCTCAGGGGCACCCAGGCTAAGGGTATTAGCCAAAGATGCCAGGATGGGCAGCTAACCCATGTTTAGATCCAGGTCTCCAATTAATGGATGTCAGAGCATGCGTTCAACAACCCCCAAAGTCCACGCAGGGTGGCTTGTAGAAACCTTTGGGCAGCCTCATGTCTGCTTAAACAGCCATCTTCAAGACAGCCCCTGAAAAGAGACCAACTCAGGTCCTGCCCTGCTATTCTTTGCTGGAGATGAGGAACAGGCTCTGGGGCTAAAGTCTGGGGTAAAGCACAAGGGACTAGAGGAACTCTTGGAGTTGGCTGGGTGAGAGGGCTCTCCATTTGTTACCTGTAGTAGCCTGCCTCCTAACTGGTTGCTTCTCCCTAGTTCCAGCCCTGCCCTGGTCTGATGCCCCAACACTGCCTTTGCTTTGTTGTTCCATCACCTCCCTATTATTAAATGTTTTCTACAGAAGAGACTTGTGAATCATGAATTGCTGTACAGCTTGGATTAAGGATACCTATTGTTGGCTGGGTGTGGTGGCTCACGCCTGTAATCCCAGCACTTCGGGAGGCCGAGGCGGGCAGACTTCAAGGTCAGGAGATCAAGGCCATCCTGGCTAACACGGTGAAACCCTGTATCTAGCCCTCTTCATTGTCCCCTACAGAGGTGGGAGCTCCTTTCTTTGCCTCTTGCTGGTAGCTTTGGCTGGTGGCCTGGGATTTGCTCTGAGTCCAGGAATTTTCTCAGTCTAAGGCTTCCAAGGGCCACAGTCCACCTCTCCCTGTGTGCTCTGCAGTGCTAGGGCCTGGTACTTGTGCATTTGCTGGAGCCATTTGCCATCACCTCACACTTCACTTTCCCTCAGGCTCGGTTACT